TAGAGTTATGTATAATAACTCACTTTCTGTCCTTTCAATCGATTTTTTATTCTTCTATTTTTTTTATTCTTTTAAGAATGATTCGTATTTTTTATTTAATCGATTTAAAAATACAGGCGGTACTCCGGGCATTCGCTAGGGGCAAGCATCTAATTATCTTTATTACAACAACATCAACATGAAGACTCAAATCCTTTTGAGAAAAAGAATCAAGTATCCTCATAGTCAAATAGTACCAGGTTTTGAGTAGTAGAACAACAAAATTTGACTCTATCCCATGCACAACAAATAATGATTTGAAAAGAAGTATAGATTTAAACCACTTTAAATCTAAAAAAAAAAGTAGATATAAACAAATTGATATTAGCCCTAATAAAAACTTGTATCTTTTGTTGCTGTTCATAACATTCTCAAACTATCAGAATTCAACAACACATAGATCAAGATGATAATTTGTATTTTACTTATTGTCAAGAACTCCTTTTTTTTCCCTTTAAAGAAGTGATTATGATTCGACTCTTGATCTTGTTTTTTTGACGTATTGTTTAGGAAATCCGTTTTGGTTCCTTGGGTCCGTTCTCATTGCCAGGAGAAGATCATGATCATGCAATTAAAAAAGAGCACGATCGACCAGTTGAGCGGAGATTCCCGTTACTTATTTCCATTGTAACTTGATAACTTCCGAAATCTTGTCAATTTGAAGAATTCCCATTTAACTTTTCTTTCTCTTTTGTTCGTATAAGAAATCTAATTTGTCTCTTTAGTTAAGTATACTGCACCAACTTTTCTAGTAACCGAGATTGTAGATGTATCGGGAGGTGTAGATTCCTTGAAGTTACAAATTGTTGTGTCCATATTCATCATATCTAAAGAACAACCTATTTCAAGAACTGGGAAGCTGTTGAGCGTCATAAAAAAATATATTTTGACCATTTTGCCCTTATTATTATTATCTTTTTTTAAAAAAAATACACTGGCGAAGGACATTTGCGCAGTCGTTCATAGCTGGCACAGTAGAAAGGCGCCACCCGTACTTTTAACGGGTGGTGCACAATTTGATTTAATTGTGATTTAATTTATTTTCCCCTATCTTTTTTTTAAGGAATCAATTTTTTTATCCTTTATGTTTAGGATTGTTTATCTTCTTTCCTTCTAGCGTTTACACTATACAATACTGTGAATAATGCAAAAGCTAAAAATGCATCCAATGTTTATCATCCTTCCAAGAATTTTAACTTATTAAACTTTGAAGTTCATGTCTTGTTGCATTTAATCATAGTTCTTTGAAATCATTAATCCCTAAAATTTTCCAAAAGTCAATTTATTTTAATATCTTTTATTCTATAATAAAAAAAAATCTAATTAAAACTCGACTTTTTTTTTTCTCTTTTGTAAATCCATGCATCGCTAGCTTTTCCATATTAAAGGAACGGTCACAATACATTGTTGGAACAACTTATGCCTGTCATAAAATGTGTGAAAAATAACAAAAAGGGGTAAAAAAAAATCAACCACGAGAGACTTTATAATTCTTTTTTATATCTAAATTCTGAAAAAAAAGTGATTCTTTCAGAGTTAAACCTTATTTATTCATATTTCAATAAAAAAGGTAGTATTTGTTGTTTTTGTTTCGTTGTAATGAGAATAACATTATATATATATTTATAATTTGCATTTTGAACGGCATAAACGCAACATTATTGGATAACCTCCATCTTCAAATTTCATAGATTCCTTTACAATATATTGTTAATCTCTCTTTAATCTTTTTGATTATTTTACTCGAATACTTTGCATATAAATGCACTATAATAAAGAAAGCTGAGCCTGTGGTATTTACTCCTCTTTTCTTATTATAAGATATTGGTTTGTTGAAAATTTCATTTAGTAAGTTGTTCAAAATTAAAATAAATCTTAAAATATTTATAATAATTGGGGAACATAATAAATATAAAAATATATTTTTAAGATTTTATTTTCAATTAGAATAACATACTAAATAAAGTTTAGGATAAATAAAAAATGTCTTATAATAAGGACGGGAGAGTAGTATTTTTCTTTAAGAAGTAAACTGAAATGAAGTTTAATAAAAATTAGAAAATTATTAGTCTCTCGTCTCACAATTTTGAGTTTTATTTTTTGTACAATTTGTATTTGTGGAAATCCAAACTAGATAATCATTTCAGGACAGAAAAATATTAAACAATCGAAGCGTGTAATAAAAATTATTGGAGATTCTATCGTTGAAACTATGAATTAGTGGTACTAGACTATTCTTTTTATTTTTATTTGAGAACTTTATTCTCCATCTACTTTATAATAACTGGACGGAGTAATCTCATCTAAAAGTTTTAAGTATTTTGGACAAAAGTGATTATTATTACTCTCTCTGTTCCAAAAAAATAGTCCACATTGTGTTTTAAGACTTTTACTATTTTTAGTATAAATTTGAAAATTCGAAATAAACTAATTTTTTGAGACAAAAAGTTCCTCTGTCCCAAAATTATTGTCCAATTTAGATTTTCAGTTTTAGTTCTATTTGTACTAAAAATGAAAACCCAAACTGAACAATAATTTCGAGATGAAAATAATATTTTTTTATCTAGAAAACAACTTTGTGAACAAAGTGAGTACTTTTATTATCAGTAAGTGTAGTTTTTTGCTCTCTGAATAAAAACGTAAACTCTAAAACTTACTTGTTCTTGCAATTTATTTTCTTCTTTATTTTTGAAAATTCCCTAAAAAGGTCTAAACTCTAAAACAGTTTGAGGAGTATTTTATTAATTCATAAATTTATGTTCAATAGAGTAAAAATGATGAAAAAAACATTTATAGTGACTAAAATATTTTAAAAAGTTTTGCGGTGACTCACCTTAGGTACTCCTGAGGCCTAAACTTTTGGAACCAAAATTGAATTTTTTCCCTTTTTTTCTGGTTGAAAGTTGGTAGGGTCAATAGAATATGAAAATTAATAAAATCTAATACTTGTAATGGAGAGCCTTTAATTCCTTCTAAATTCTGTTAGAAATATCAAAATTTGTATGAAGAATCTTTATGTGGACTAAAGAAACTTTATGAGAATTAATTTTTATTAAAGAAAAGTTTTTGACGACTCTGTCAACCTACTCCCAAACTTTGGAGATCAAAACTGGTTTTTGTCCATTAGAGCATCTCCAACGAAGACACCAAAACACTAAATTTGGTATTTTGGTGTAAAGTTTGCACTCTAACGAAGACAGTAAATCAGTATACTATTTTGGTATAATGAATAGTGCTGCACCAAATTTGGTGTAAATTGTCCATTACACTATTTTAAGTGCACTATCTTTTTACTTAGATCTAAATATATATTTACTATGCAATTAAACTTGTAAAATGAAATATGTTATAAAAATTATATCATATTAAATATTTTTTTTTGAGATCTTCAAAATAAGACACATATTGAATATAAATTTTTATTTTTTTAATTTTATTTTAGTTATTATTAGAATTCGACAATCAAATAAAAACAATTATAAGAAATAAATTTCAAAAAATTATCACCAAATTATTAATTAGCCGCAAAAATAACATTTAAAATAAATATTTAATATGTAGACATTTTAATGCATTATTAAGGCTGGAATGTAAAGAACTTTGGTGTAAAAAGATGTTTAAAATATTTTATTTCTCCACTAAATTTGGTGTAAATTATGATGCAATAGCTTGGAGATATTGCTTTCACGACTTCACTTAATATTTTCGCGCTTTTATGGACAAAGGTAGATCTGCACACGCTTTTAGTTCGCACGCACGTGTACAATAGAAGCAAGCGATAAAAGAGTATTCTTTTGCGGCTTTTGCCCCAATTTGGGTTCCGTCTATCGATCAGACCCCAAAGACGAATAACCACCACGACCTCCGCCATTCGCCACCGCTCCGAAGCCATCAAAACTAGCTGCGGTACGCTATATTTATTCGCGCAAATGAGTTTTAACCTTAATTTCGTCATTCATGCGTCTGATTACATGCTCAACCATGTATAATTTGTGCTCAATTTGCTTCAATATTCATCAACGTTTACGTTTCTCACGCCAATTTTTAGGGTTTCTTTAGGTTCTTGGATTTTATAGATTGAAATTCACTTTTTGGATGTCATATTGTTCTTCAGCTGGTTTTTTATTATCTTCATGACCATATAACTCCTGATTTGCTTTGAGATTGCTGTTAGGGTTGTTATAATTGTAAGAATCAGTTTATATGGCAAAGTTGTTCACAGATATCCCGAAATTAGTCTATGTGAATGGAAGTTGGATTTTGTGCTTTTTTGGTGGTTATTTGAGAAGTTAAAGGGGAGATAATTTCTTAATTCTGTGGGCTTTTTAGATGAAAGAAAAAGTATTTGGCTTTCTCCCACTCCTCTCCTTCAACTAAGAGATTCTCATTCAGCGTTCTCCCTGTTTATTGCATATTAGTGGCGATTTATCTTTCTCCTTGTTTATTGCATATTAGAAAGTTCTGACCCTTTTTTTTTACCGTGACTGAACAGGAATTTTTATGAACAATTATGGCAGAGATACAGACTTCTGGCAGACCGATTGATCAGTTGTTGGAGAAAGTACTTTGTATGAATATTCTTTCGTCTGATTACTTCAGAGACCTATTAAGATTAAAAACTTACCATGAAGTGATAGATGAAATCTTCCATCAAGTGGATCATGTGGAGCCATGGATGACTGGGAACTGCCGCGGTCCTTCTACAGCTTACTGTCTGCTCTACAAATTTTTCACTATGAAGCTTACTGTGAAACAAATGCACGGCCTCCTGAAGCACCCAGATTCTCCTTATATTAGAGCTGTAAGTTGATGAACTCAAAATTATTATTTTCTGTGGTAACTTTATGCTCAGAGGTTTTCTTGGAAGTTTTGGCATTGTTTAAAGTACCTAGTAGATGAGTGATTGCATACCATTTTTGAAACGTGATGTTTCATGTTTTTTTTTTTTTTTTTTTTTTCGCGGGGGTGTTTGAATGAAAGCTTGATGGTTAAAGTAAAAAGTAAGGTTTTGAAGTCCTAGCAGAATAATATCTAGAGTTTCACAATTTAGTTGTCCTGCACAGGTTCTGTTGACTCTTGAATCTTCTCAGGTTTGCAGGAGCTAGTTATATGCCATTGGAATTTTCTTAGTGCATCTACCATGTTGCGTACCAATTAAAATATGAGTTAATAAGTGAAGATGTTACACACCAGTGGTGGCTCAAATGTAAATGCTCTCATCTGCTAGCTCTCGTGACTATACTTTCTTCTTTTAGTTATAATTGTTAACATTTACTTCTTTTCTTCTCCTGGGATCTTTAGAATTGCAAGTTTGATGAAACAATTGTGTCATTGGAGGAAGTGAAATAAATGCTTCACTTTCGGTGGCCATATTGTTTAAATTTATCAGGTGCCTGGAATCTGAATACCCTGTGTAATTTCGAGTTTGGCTTTCCTACTTTTCTAAGTCATTTTGAATGCTAAATATGTTTGTTCAAGGCATTAAATGGGATGGGGTACTTGCCATTGTTTTCACTTTTGTGCCTTTCTTGCCCTTTTCTATTGCTACTGTGTCAGTTACATTTGATTATTCAGGATTGTTTGTATTACTAAGGTGTTTAGATGGAATGTTCTGATGGAAAGTAATTATTGCAGATTGGATTCCTGTACTTGAGATATGTTGCAGATCCAAAGACTTTGTGGAGCTGGTATGAACCATATATCAAGGATGATGAGGTATGCGTCAGGTGCATTTCTCCCCTCTGGATTCGTTCATATTTTCGTCACTTAATGGTTTGAAGCAGGTTTTGTAATCTTATTGTAGTCTTTTGAGTGGATTACTATTGCGTACAATATTGATGATTTCTGCCGTTTTCCTTCAGGAATTTGCTCCGGGATCCAATGGTAGGACGACCACCATGGGTGTCTATATCAGGGACTTGCTTCTTGGACAGGTTAGGTGCCTTATCACTTTACAAACTTTAAATCACATTACTGACACCTTGCCAGGCAGAATAGGATGGTTGTCTGTTGAACAGTTGGCATGATTAACATCGATTAGCATGTGCTGCGGTGATTTTCTTTTTCTCTTTTCCACTTTCCCTTTGGCAGAATCAAATGAAAATATTGTTTTTTTTAAAAAAAATTTTAAGCTGTTTACTGGTTAAGAAGATTTGACATAGAGGGGCTTGGATGACATGGATACACTTTTGTTTTCTTTGAGGAAAGGTACCTGTATGAGATTAGGAAGGGATCCCTAAACTATTACAACGCATCCTTTTGTTATTTGTACAAGTTCATGCCATGCAAATTTTATTATATTGGAGATTTATGCTTTCGAAAAGACAATAATTGGTATTACTACCCTTTCTAGAAAACTGCCATTTTTACTTGTAGTTTCTTTTTGCTGGTAATGTGCTCTGAGTTTTGGTGCTTCTGGAACAAGAAGATGTTGCCTCTGTTTCTTTCTGACATTTGGAGTGTGTCTAATTGCAGTACTACTTCGATACGCTCTTTCCACGCATCCCTGTTCCTGTCATGCGTGCTGTTGTGTCCAATCTTGAAAGACTGAAGCTTCCTACTAAACATTGTGGTACAACCGGTGAATCGACACGTGGAAACGATGAAACTGCTCGTCGGCCACCATCTGTAAAGGCTGCCCTTTCAGTCTCCTTTGGTCAGCGTGCTCCACATCGTGCATCAACTAGAGATTCATCTCCTGTCCGACGCACCTTTCCTCTGCCTTCCAGTGAGAGAGATAACATTGATGATTCAAGGCGCTCTCCTAGCAATCGCCGAAGCCAGAGCCGTGAGTTGTCTGACCGAGAAAGAGGGCATAGTCGGGATAGGGAGAGAGATAGAGATGGAGACAGAGATGGGGACCGGGATCGGTATAGGGATCGAGGGAGAGACAGAGACAGAGATAGAGGTAAAGAACGAAGGTATGATTATGAGCAACACTCCAGGGACAGCAGAAGGGATTATGAGAGGAGGAGTTATGATGGTAGTCGAGATCACAGGGAAAGTCGTTCCAGAAGGAGTCGAAGCAGGAGCAGAAGCAGAAGTAGGAGCCAAAGCATGTACGATCGCGGTATGCCCAGTGATAACCGTGATAACCGCACTCCACCTCAAGATGGAAATGTGGATAGAACGTCTGCATCTAGTAATCTTGCCAAACTCAAAGACCTGTACGGTGACTTGAACAATCAGAAGGAGGAGACAGGCAAGAGTAGGGGTCCTAGGGATAGTGGCACTGAGGAGGTTATCAGGCTAGGTGGTTCTTCTTGGAGGTAGTAAGGGATCCATATATCCATGCACTTGCCGTTATGGCTGGTTCTTAGCTTTGTGGTCATCTGACATTATTATATTGCCTTCTTTTCTTTGGCTGGAGAAACATTTTTCTTGTTGAACTTAAAGTTGTCTCTCTCATCTTTCAACATTGTATTGAAACTTATCAACTAATTTGAAAGATACATTCTTCAACGAGTTGCAATCAAATTATGCCGTGATCTGTACTTTGTAGTACAGAATGTTTAGCTGGACTACTTTACATATATAATCATTATGTGTTTCGATTTAGCTGTTAATGGTCAATTCTTCAGAAAGATTCCCATTTGCCCTGCTTGTATTCTTAATGATCATGTTTAGAAGCTGGAAAAGCAGCCAAGTCACCGCGATTCACCTTTTGCACTGCCCTTTTCTGTATTGATCAGGGATTTCTGTTGTATTTTCTTTGTAGATAGAAGAAAGTTTTCTTTGATTGCTTGAGGAGCTTCTGAATGAAAAAGGTAGAAGTATTACTTATGATTTGTTTATAAATTATCCCATCAACAAAAACGATTTCTTATGTGCATGCAAGTAAAAAGTCCCGACCGCCCCTATGAGAAAATCCTCCGAGATGGTTGCGGCAGTTAGCCTTCCAATTGATTCTGAGTAGGTTTTTTGACTGCATCTTCTCAACCGAGTACAATAGATTTTGTACCCGTATGTATATCCTAACTGTCAGCTAAAAATCAGAAACTGTTACAATTCCACCATGAATATATACACGTATACCCTAAAAATAACGTGCCAAATTTAAGATGTCATCATCCCCTTTCTGAATTATTTGCAAAAAAACATGTTGAAATGGATGTCTTATTTCAACCCACAAATGGCCGGCCATTCTCCATTGAAGTAGGTTATTTTGATTCTGTGCTCGAGATCAAAGCAAAAATCCAGAAGGACCAAGGTATCCCCATTTCTAAGCAAACCTTGATCTTCAATGGCAATGTTCTTAACGATGAACTCAATGTCCATTCATCAGACATTCTTGATCACTCTCAGATTAGCCTCATTGTTGCCCCTGATCCTGAAAAACACAACGCTACTACCACAAATACTAACAATCTTGTTAGAGCATCGCAAGAGCTATCAATATCTATAAATCCCTTCAAGCAAATTCGGCTGATCCTCAAAATGCCGGCAGGAAGGCCAGCGATCCCACTGGAAATGGACATAAATGATAGTATTCGGAGGCTGAAGGAGAGGATTCAGGAAATGGAAGGTGTCCCTGTCGTGAGGTTAATGATCCAGGCAGGCGGTGTCGAATTGCACGATCATCAAACTATACTTGATTGCGAGCTTTTTGATCACGCTGAAATTGACGTTAGCGTTAGGCCTTCGCCGTCTACTACTACTTCATCGGGATCGTTAGGGAATGTTAGCAGCACAAAGAAGTTGAAGATTATAGTATTGACAAAATGTGGGACGAGAAAGATTCCGATGGAAGTTAGTCCTTCTGAAAATGTTGGACAACTTAGGAAAGAGCTACAAAAGTTGAATCAACATTTGGATCTGGATCTTCCGCAGGAAGGGTATTTCTTTATCTACAAACAAAATGTTATGGATGATGATCGGTCTCTTAGATGGCACCATGTTGGGAACGGAGATACCATTGAGATCTTCAATGGAAGCATTTCAGGTGGAACATGAATGCCGTTAATGATTCATTTTACAGATTGCTCTACATTTGTTGCTCATTATGTTCGTTCATTTTGTTGTTATTCTTTCACAGTTTTTTGGTGGATTTATTACACTGCAAATTCAAATTGGTCTCATTGTGTTTGTTCATTTTGTTGTCATTCTTTCACACTTCTGGTAGATTTGTTACACTGCAAATTCAAATTGATTAAGATTGCGTCTAGAATATTATGGAACAAACTTTCGTGTTTCGATATTAGTATTTTTCTAGGAGCTTAATCCAATTCATCGACCATGGTAGTCCATTGGAAAGAAGTATGCCCATGATAGTCCATTGAGAAGAAGTATGCCGTGAGAAAAGACACGAAACAGAAGTAGCTAGTGTGACACAGAAATTGAATCAGCTAAAAAATATCCTTCTACGTATTCAAAAAGAATGTAAGAACCCTAGGGAGCCTGAAATTTGAGAGGCTTGCCGTCAATGTTTACATACTACTTTTCACTTTCGAAGATGAAGGTATTAAACAAAACCTAACAAACACTTTAACATCGATTATTTAGCTGCTAATCAAAATAACCATGCTTCCAATCTTGCAAAGGCTGGATTCCCACCTGTTGATATGAGGTACTTCCTTTGGTTTCTCCACTTTGACAGTCTCTAATCCCTACTGAAAATCATGTAATGTGGTAACCACTAGCCGCATTTAACATATGTGCAAGTAATAGCAACCTGAGGCTTCTGGGAACAAATTCCTTCTGCTTCTAGTTTGGCGCGAAAAATAATTTCTCAACTCACCAGAACACTGACAAACTGCATATTTAGGATGTTTGATCAGCTTGCTTACTCACACTTGATTGAGCGATAAATGTGACGAACAAAGAACAATGCTGCACGGAAGCCAACTGTTCCGAGCATGAGGAAGAAGCCGTAGCACACACAAGCCATATAACCAAAGAAGAATGAAGTCTGCATAAATCCAGACATGTCTGATCGTGCATAATAGTAATACAGGCAGTAACCATAGATGAACAATCCAGTTGATCCACCACAGAGGAATGATCTGGAGGCATCAAAAAGCAATATTAGAGCTAAGACGTCCGCCTCCAATTTTACTCTTAATGCAAACTCACATAGTAGATTACATCAGATTGAAAACCAACACTGTCTTCCCACTCTACTCCCATAAATGGAGTGAAAATGAGTGCGTTAAGAGACTATGCAAAGGGATATCATTGGTATGATTCAACCAAAACGAGCAAAACAACAAATATTTGCTGATTCTCTCTCAAGGAGATCACTCTATAATGGGAATTTTTTTACATGATGAGTTCGACTCCAAGCAGGAACTAAAAATTCTCTCACCAAACCACAATCATTAATGCTTATAACAGACACTATTAAGGAACAAGGTACAATCTTTATTTAACAACAAACCCCAAACAAATAGAACAGTGCCATGAAAGTGCAAAAACATCCAAAGAAAAAACAGTTGCTACAGCAATAGGTTAAAGGTCATACCTCCACCACCATTCATGGTCTTCAGCAGCAAGTTGGAAATAAGTAAGAGCCACCGTAATAAAAGCCGTAACAATGATCAGAATAATGAAGACAATAAACAAGATGCTGTAGATGGTGTAAATCCGGTGACCCCATACGCTAGCAAAGATGTAGTAGAGTTCAATATAGATGGCACTGAAAGGCAAGAAACCAGCCATTGCCATCTGTGGTAGAGTTCCGCGATACCAAGGTAATGGTGGGATTTCCCTTGGATATTTTGTTGTGCGGCATGGGGCTTGAAACTCTGCCTTGCTGTTCTTTCCGGCAATCCCACCAAGGACTAGCAAAGGTGATGTGACAAGGGCCCATATAAGAAAGATGACGACAATTGTACCAAATGGCAGTGCTGCAGTAGCACTATAAGCAATGGCGACAGTGTTCAAGAAGCAAAATGTCAAAAGCAATGGTCCGCAAAATAGGCCTCCAGTCAACAATAGATTTCTAACCTGTTGAAAAAAAAAAAAAGATCATCAGACTGACATTCCAAGCAAGTTAAATCAACTAAAGATCGTGGGAAAATTTCTCTCCCCGTAATGTTATAGAAACATGTCCACTGATAAATGGAAAACAAGAACCCGGGGACCAGATATTTTTACTTTTGTAACAGTTATTAAAGCAAAGAGTAAGGCCAACGGTCTCATGGTCAGCAGGAGTTGCATGAAACCTTTTCCTACCCGCCTTCATCAAAACCGCACCCCCCACCTCCTTGTCTCCCGGCGTCTCTGACATTGATGATTCTGATGCAACAACGCATTGCCTTCACTTTATAAAATTCCAAAGTTTGAACATAAGTCCAAATCAAAGTGCAAAGAAACTACTTCAGCACATATGCAGTTTGCTGAAAGCCCAAGACACACAACAAAGCATTTCCAATAACACAATCAGTAACACATGTCTTTCATCCAAATTCTTATACCAATTACTGAGACAGCAGGGAATGGAATTGGATGAGAGTACAAGGTGCACAATCTCATTTGCAAGCCAAAAAGTAGTTTTGTTAAGTTCTTAGTAGATAATAACCAAGACTCAGCAATGAAACACAAGAGACGAAGTAGGAAGCTACCTAATCTACAATAAGTGATAGCAGCAACTTCCATAACAAACAACACATTAGACTTACCCAATTTGTTCCCTCTAGCTGGCAATAGAAAGATGCAGCAGTGTAACCAGCAATTCCAGAAGTAAGGGCATAAACAACCACTAAAGCAGTGAAGAGAGCTCCTCGGTTGTAAGGATAAAATACACCAACAAGGGCAAGGATGAATATGAAGATTGTACTGCAAAGGAGATTGCACAATGAGGTTTAACAACTCGATGATAATGACAGAACAAAGCAAACATGTTTACCACGAAAGAAACATAGAGATTCCAAGACTAACTTACAGGGTAAAAAGCTGAGAACCAGATCCTAGTGAAGCAGCAAGTAGAGATTTGTATTTTGGATATCTGAAGACATCCCCATGAATATACTTCCATCCACTTTCTTCTTGATCATCTGCAGCCTCCTCATCATGTGCATATCTTTGGAAAACATAAAAATGTCAGAACTGATCATGCTCCTCTGAGATAAGCAAATGAACCACTAAGAGGGATGGAAAAGACAAATGTGCACAAGGGGAAGTGTGATGAAAATCAAAATGCACTTACTTAACGAAATCATTTTTAAGGACTCGCATCAAAATTGTCGCTAGGAAACCAGTTAACAGAAGAACTGTTACACATGAATTGATGATTGAGAACCAATGGATTTCCAAATGATGTGGCAATGAAGATGACTGAAACTTGTCCATCCTCTTCTCAAAAGGAATGTCAGTTTCCTTCCATTTGACAGAGTACATGAAGTCCACATCAACTTCCTTATCCTCAGTAATATCAACAAGAGCATTAGAGTCGGTTCGTGCATTAATCTCAATAACCCGATCCTTGTTGTAAGCTATTTCAAAATGCAGATGCTTGAATAAGTAATACTTGTATTCACTTGGATCAGCTTTGCCTTCTTTGTCAACCTTCCCCAGGAAACCCCAAAGTGGCAAATCATCATAATACATCTGGAAGTAATAGTCTTTTGCAACAGCATTTCGAAATTGAGCAACTTCTTCCTTTGACAACTTCTTTTGGCAAACAATTTCAGAATCTTTGTTAGATAAGAATTCGAGATTATATGGGGCAACAACTAAGCGGTCACCATTCAGAACTTCACCAAGAGCTTCCTTTTTCTCTTTTACATGAGCTGCAGTGATGAAAAATAAACGATTTAGCTTTCAATTGGATAAAAATAATAATAAACAACTAAATCAATAGGCTTACCAGGTGAGCAGAAGGGGAGGTCAAAGTACCGGTATGTTTCACTACAATGTGGGGGAAATGAAGGTCAGTAGAAGTACACAATTTAATGAGGAGAAAAGTTCAAGCATAATTGTAGGAAAGGGTAAATCTGAAGAAATCAGGCACAATAAAACTAAGTCACATAGCCTCGGAATTACTGCATACACAACGACGGGTGTTTTCAATACCAAAGAGTTCCCCACTTGAAGAATGAAGACCCTTGCCTGCAGTTACAAAATATGCTAACAAGTGCTTGATCCCGAAAGCTGGCAAGTATTTCATATATATGCATCACTAGAAACCAACATACTTCCTCACTACTATGAAATACTCCCAACAAGTACTATATCATATATCTTCCTAATATTTCACATGGTAGCCTAACAACAAGAACCTATTACTACTTTCAATCCAACTCTCATTTTCTCTCCCTCTTCAACATTGAACAGACACACAATCGAGATGGGAAAAAGAAATCGTTTCTCAAACATCCAGTTCAATAAAATGCAAACATGGATTAGCACTAGATAAGTAGCTTGGACTTCAAACACTGCAATGAATTAGCTATGCTGTCGTCCAAAAAACTACACACATTAGTCCGTCTATATTATTGTGACAAGCAAGATGCAAAGTCTAGCTCCAGATCTAACCAATTATAAACCACATCAGACCAAAATACAAACACAGTCACAGTTCCACAGCCAAAGCCATATCCAACAATGCATTCAACCACGTGATGATGATGCTGATAAGAAAAAAAAATGAATCGATTCACATTTATCACACAATTAAAGTTCTTATCCCAATAAAATGCTTAGTCGATCATCATGTAATTCACCAATTAAAATGGTAATCACTAACATCAATCTAACTCGAACACAACCAACAAGAACAAAGAGAAATTTAATCAGAACAAAATGGATCACTGAAAAGAATACCTGGGATTATGGAAAGGGCCGACCTTGTTAGCGTAAAGAGGTACGTCTTCGTTGGTTTTGTATCTGTGATCGGAAGAATCAGATTTAACTCCCGTCGGCGGGTTCAAAACAAACAATACTGCAACTAAGAACGCCACCGGAATACTGTTCCGGCAACTCCTCCCCGCCATAACCAATTTTGCTCAACAAAAGGGGACGGTGCAATCAACGTAGAAGTGTAGTAAACACTGACGAAAGAAGAGAGAATTTGTCTCTCTTAATACTAGAGAGGACATGGAACAGATGGAAGGTATGAATATGGTAAGAAATGGTTAGAACATTTTGATCACGCGCGTTAGGATGCGTGGGGGAACACAACAGCAATGGAACTTGACCCACCAACTGAATTGTAATGTGAATCATCTTTGTTGATTTTATTTTTTCTCCCCCATTTTGCTTTTTGGTTCCCAAATTTGTTCCATTTATATCTTTTCTATTGTGGGGGAGTTATTCTTTAATTGATGATGTTTAGTAAGTTTTGCATTCCATTTTGATCACACGTGCACACATGAAAAAGATGAAAATATACTCTAATCTTATTTGTTGAATTAAAATAGTAAAATTAAAATGAATTAATTTGTTTAAGATCGGAAGAAAAAAAAGACATCTCTTATGGAATATAAATTAGTTGATAGTTATATTATACTCCTTCTGTCCCAAAATTATTGTCCAGTTTGAGATTTCAATTTTAGTATAATTTGAACTAAAAATGAAAACCTAAACTGGACAATAATTATGGGACGGAGGGAGTAGTAGTCTTTATCTTTATGTCCTGAGACAAGGTATACTGATATGCTTCACTCAACCATTTTAATATCCAAAATTTGCTATCTCAATGACATTAATTAAATGATCTTGTTAATGTTTCAAAGAAAATATCTTACTGCTCTCTCATATTTTTATTATAAATCATTTTGATTTCTCTTAAATATATAGTAAGATTATGTCGATTTAATTGAAAATAAAATTTTAAAACTTAACCTAGTTTTGTCTTTGTCAACTAAAAGTTTTACGTAAGATTACAGCCTACAAGAGATGGAACATGGCCCAACTTAAAACTATTAAGCCTAAAATATTAGGATAAGGTCGAAACCGCATTAAGCCCTTTTCTATTTTCGTTATTATGTCTCCACGGCCCATCCCGCCTCATATATATATAGAACTGAGTTTTCTATTTCAGAATTTTTATGCGGCAGAACAAGCATAAACCCCAAAATCACCTAATAAAACCTCTTTGAAGAACAAGAATCTGCAAATCATGCTGCAAAGCAGAAGCTTCGTTAAGAAAACCAAACAAGGAGGAGTTCGCAAGGTTAGTCATCCTCAATCACTTTCAATTTCGTGTTGTTTCTTTTTGGATTGCCTCAATCACTTTCTCACTCTATTTTTGTTGAAAATCTGAAAAACTAAGTGGATGCTAGTTGAGCTGAAAACTAAAGGAATTGAGCTGTTTTTTTTTTTTTTTTTAATCAGATAGTTAGGGAACACTATCTCAGGGATGATATATATTGCGGGGCTCCATTTTGTAAAGTATGCGATGTTTCCGGAGCTAAATTGAGTGATGCTCCTTCACCGCTTCTCGTTGTTGACACCAATGTCGTCCTCAATCAGGTGATGGTTTGAAATGCATTTCTGTCCAGATTTTGTCTTGCTTGATATTTATTTATTTATTTTTAAATTTTTTTTTTCTGTTCCTGCAAAAATAGATTGATTTGTTGGAGAATCCAGCCATTGATGATGTGGTTGTGCTTTCGGTTGTGTTGCAAGAGGTTAATAATAAGAACATTTCGATTTACAATCGGCTCAGGTCGCTTTGCAGTAATGCTTCTAGAAAGTTCTTTGTTTTCTCAAATGAACACCACAGGTACCTTAATTTATTGACTCTGTACCGTTTGGTTGTGCTTTAATCTTATTGTAGTTTAATGAAACAATGCAGTTCTCTGTTGACATTTTCTTCGTACTCATTCACAATACTGTATTACATAACCTAGTTGGTTGTGGTACATGAGTTTTCATAATCATAGAATTCATTATGAGTTATCGTTCTATGGAAATGGTTAAATCCTGAGACAGACAGCTAGTTTGCTTTTTTTTTTTTTTTTCTCGGTTACTTCCGAGGGTATTCATAATGCCTTTTCTTTATTCTCTCAAAGGGATACATATGTGAAAGATATGGCTGGCGAAACTCCAAATGATAGGAATGACAGAGGTTTGTTTTTTGGCTTTACTGCTACTTCTGTCTACTCTGCTATTAGTGTAGGAAACTTGATTAGATGTTGGTTAATAGCACAATGTCGTGTCTCAAAGAAGATTAAATGTCTTTGATGAATTCAATTTTTATTTCCTTCAGTTGCTAAGTTAGAGATTATTCCACAAAGCCGATGATTTCCAATAAATTTGTTTGTAGGATTTTAATTACCGTTTGCATGTCAACACCGGACTTGATAATTCTTCTATATCCAGGTTTATGATCGTAGATAATGGGAACCAAATTATAATAGTATTGTGTATAAATATTCTTCATTGAAGTCTGTAGATCTAATTTCAATTTGTTGGTTACAAAACGAGAATGCTCTAGAACTCTGATTTTTCATTTTTTTTTGACAGTTTTTTTCAGATTAATTTATTAATAAATGTCCCATCCCAGCATATCTTTTTACACTTGCAATTCACATTTTTACATTCCAATACAGAAAACGCCTAAAAACACACTAAAAAAATGATCCAAACTTATAAATGTGTCTATTTCTGTTGTATGTTTTTAAGTCTTCTTTCTAATTGCAGATAATGAATGTTTCAAGTTGCGAACATTGCATTCTCTCTCAGTAATAATACAATGACTCAGTGATATAAATGTAGAGAATAAATATGTTTGGACAGTCTTAATTTTGTTCTGTTTATACAAAGTGAAAGGATGGTATATGGTATTCTTTTAACTTTCCACATGAATGTTCTTTGGTTAGGTTAATATACCACAGATTCATTTACCCCAACTTTTTGAGAGCCAGTTTACTCCGTGGAATGTCACTTGTTTATAACTTATGAACTTTAATGTGCTTCCATACATATTATGGTTCTGAAAGCGATGTGGCTGAGTTTTATGTTTCTTATTGCATATACTTTTTATCCTGCTGCTATTGGAACCTGATTCGTGATGGGTTTACATACTTGTATGAATATAAGATGTTAACTTCTGTTTGTGCATAACGAGCTGACTCTCAACACTAGGGGATCTCTGAAGGTTTGACTGTTCACATTGACTTGCAGCTATCAGGGTTGCAACACGATGGTATCAGGACCATCTTGGGGGTGCTGTTCATGTCTTACTGCTCACAAATGACCGGGAGAATAAGAGGAAAGCCATAGAGGAGGGGATTTCTGCTGAAACAGGTAACTTATAATTCAATGCATCATCTATTTTTATCGTTTCTACCACATCGTAATGTACGTGTACTTGGCAATTCATGTTGCATTGGCTGTGTAGCTGCCATTAATTAAGCAACATGCTTTTTATTTCTCTGAAACTTTTTTTAGCATAATCTTTTTATCCTGATTGACGTCAGGATTTTACATGGTCAGTAACAAGTAGCTTCATTTCAGTTGAATCATATGTGAAGTCGCTTGGTCAGCCAGAGTTGCTAGACCTTATTGTTCAGCCTCCTTCCGAGGATGTTAAAATGGAGGATGTTGAAGATCTTAGACCTTCAAAGAGAAAAGTCATCTACACAGAGGTAAATGTTTGAAAAGATTGTTTCACTTCTATTTTATGAACAATCTTCTAGGCCTTTGAACTTTTTTACTACGATACCGCAGCATAAACCCATGTCAGAGATAACATCTGGCTTGCTTCGGGGAATTTTTCATCAAGGGAAACTTCGTGTCAACCGTTACAATCCATTTGAAGCATATGTTGGTAGTGAAAGTATTGGTGATGAAATTATTATTTATGGGCGTACAAATATGAATCGAGCTTTCGATGGTGATGTTGTGGCTGTAGAACTGCTGCCTCAAGATCAATGGCAGGGAGAGACATCGATAGCAATTACCAATGAAGGTTCGAAGTTCCTTGATTCTCTCTGCATAGGCAGTTAAAATTTTCGGTTTCATGAAAGTTTTTCTTTTAAATGTTATTTAGCATGTTATGGCCGAGCATCACTTCATAAAATATACCCATGTCCTTTATTTCACCTCTTGTTGTACCTGTCTCTTACATGTTGTCCTGATAATGTTGCGGAGTGAGAGGAGCTATATGTTGCATCTACACATTTGCATGCGCACTTGTCCTCAAAAGTAAGTTTGGACTGTTATATTTGATCCTGAAATAGATTATGTCATATGCAGAGGATGAGGAGGAAGATGTCCATCTTCCCCCAAGTAGTGCTGATGATGCTCCCAGAGCCACAAATCTTGTGCAAGGATCTACTGGGGCTGCAAATTCACCGCCTTCCCGTCCTTCAGGCCGTGTAGTTGGCATTATAAAACGGAACTGGCACTCGTGAGTTGCAATGACTTTTTATCTGAATATTTTTTTTGTTATTTCCATATTATTTTGATGATCAACATCGGCATTTACCTTGACCTTTCCCTGGCACCCAGCGCCAAAATGTATTAGAACTGCTCATTATGTATAACATGAGCTTTTCGATAATGTACCAACATGATGGTTGAATCTGTTTGCAGCTATATAATGTGTCCGAAAAATCTATCTAAGATTTACTATTTGCAGATATTGTGGATCTGTGGAGCCAATGCCGATGCCAGCAGGCAGTGGTGGTGTTGTACATGCCTTATTTGTTTCCAAGGACCGTAGAATTCCTAAAATCCGTATACAGACCAGGCAGCTTGACAACCTTTTGGACAAAAGAATTGTTGTGGCAGTGGATAAATGGGATGTTCTGTCTCGATATCCTTCTGGTCATTACGTGAGGACAATCGGAGTGATAGGTGATAGGGACACTGAAACCGAGGTATGTATATCTGCTTACTGTGGCCCTTAAATTCACTAATCAGAGGTCTGTTTTACTACTTTTTCCTTTAAAGAGCTCTTTCCTTTGTGCTCAATGTATGATGTTTTCGATGAACCCATTTAGATGTGCACCTAAGATTCTTTGTGCCGAAAAGAAAATTTAAGCTAGTATATATTCGTCGGTTTTCATGTTAGGCATTTTAATAAACATTCTTGAGTGTTGGTCTCTTAGGTTGTGCTTTTGGAGAATGATGTAGAATTCAAACCATTCTCGTCTCAAGTTTTAGCTTGTTTGCCGCCACTACCCTGGTCTGTGTCTTCTGAAGATCTAGCAAATCCTATTAGGCAGGACTTACGACACCTTCAAGTCTTTAGTGTGGACCCTCCAGGTTACAACTCCATATCTTGGTTGCCCAAGACTTTCCTTTGTCTATTTTCTAGACACGACGTTTCTACGTGTTTTCTGAGCCCTTTTTTCAAGCTTATTGTATGGTATGGGTTCTCTTTTCTGCTGATTAGTTTTGTTTGTATCTTGTGCAGGATGCAAGGATATTGATGATGCATTGCACTGCACAGCTCTCCCGAGTGGAAATTTTGAAGTGGGAGTCCGTATTCTTTCTGTCAGTTTTTTGATAGAGAGATTCTTTCCGTCTGTTGTTACTATTAAAATTCTGACCGCTGACTTTTTTTTTCCAATTTTAGTAGTGATGATTTTTAGAAACATGTAGAGTCTATAATGTGTCATCGTCTTTTTGTTTTTATTGTTTGATGAATGCCCATCTTCCTTTTTGCTTCAAACTTGTCTCATGTTTCGAGTATGAATTCTACATTTGCTGCTGGCTTGTTCCATGGACTTTGGATGTACTGCAGTTGGTTCATATCCAATTGCTAAAACATTTGGCTTTGCACTTCAGTTTTATTCTTTAACAATGGTAGATATTGCTGATGTCACAAATTTTGTACATCCTGGAACACCACTTGATGATGAGGCTTCAAAAAGGGGTACCTCTGTCTACCTTGTTGAACGCCGTATCGACATGCTACCCAAACCTCTTACAGAAGGTAATAGCTTCGTTCCAATAACTTGGTAGTTTTATTTATTGGCTGTGGCTTCTTGAGTTTCTAAACTAAGTCTTGCTTGCAACACCACATGAGAAATATGTAACTGAACCCTTGTTTGTTTTGCAGATATCTGTTCCCTACGTGCTGATGTGGAGAGATTAGCTTTCTCTGTGATTTGGGTATGTGTTTCTTCTACACTCTAAATTTATATCATTCCTATGTTGGTTTATGTATATATATATGTATGCACATATTTAAACACAAGTATTGTCACAATTTTGAATGAGTTGCTTATGTATTTGTGTGCTTTTAAGCCGTCGGAATTCTTAAGGTTACTGCATCTTCGTATTGCAATTGACATCACTAGATCCCTTTTAATCTGTAGTGTATTAAGTGCTCATTGTATCATGAGCATATCTTATGTCTGGTTAGTTGACATGGTAACTTTTGCAGTATGTTTGCAGACCTTTAATCTTCCCTGCATTACTCTCCCCATCTTTCAGTTATAGTCGATGCATCAGGGTTTTTTCATTTTCCAATTCTGGTCATGCATGATTTTACCAGGGGTTTCGTTGTAATACTCTGACGGTTTTGCTACTGATTTTACCAGGAGTTATGATTTTACTACCGAGAGCTCCTCTTTCTAGATCTAATTCTCATGTATTCAAGTATCAAAATTGCTATAAAAGTATATTTAAAGAAACTAGCATGTTAATATGATCCTTTTTCCTTGATTATTTCGAGTGACTGAGCCTGAAGCCCTGAATCCAGTATTTGACACGTGGTGTTTTTTTGTTTCCAGGAAATGACTTCTGAAGCAGATATTATTTCTACAAGATTTACAAAGAGTGTGATAAAGTCATCTGCAGCTTTGTCATATGTTGAAGCTCAAGCAAGGATGGATGACAGGTGCTCATTTGTATACTCTTCTGTTACATGTTGTATACTTGAGCTTAAGGTTTTGACATGGGTTCCAATATTTTCTAGAATCAACATTGAACCATAATTCTTTGATGGTGATTAGGATATTTATAAGTAAGAAGAAACATCCCTGAGATCAAAATGTCTCATAAGGATTGAAGACTTGGTGCAGAGTTCAGAAAAATCTGCTGCATTTTTCTTCAAATTGTTTTTCCTAAACTCATCATGATAATTATGAAGCTTTCAGACATCCTGTCCCAAACTCTAGAAAATGAAGAAAATGATTTTATCTGAATTTCTTACTATTGGACTACAATATGATACCCTATTTATCATGTATAGAGCAGTAAATAATATCCTAATTACCTCCTATTCTAGCTGTCGGTCACCTAAATAGATAACTTCCTAATATATATACAATAAATGCTCATTACTCAGACCATAATCCTAGGGAATAATCCCAGGGATTTCCATACAAACATGTCAAAAAATCTTTTGAACCTTGGGTGCAGCCAAATGACATCCTGTCCAAAACAGGCTGTTTACTAAAACGATTTACTGAAAACGAATAATAATAGTTAAAGTAAATGTAAGCATGTTATTTATTCATCTTCAAGTCAATTGGAGATTCATGTACTTGAAGTAGAAACTTGAAGGATCTTGGTTTCTTTTCTTTCTTTTTTTTTTTTTTTTTTCTTTTCTTGGAACGGAACTGCAATAAAAGGAGAATCTTGGTTTTGTTATGTTCTTCGTTGAATTATTCTCGAACTATCGTTTGTCTTTTTGAAGTTTGAGAAGCAATTGTATTATGTCAGTCTTTCTAAAACAACCTGAAAAAAATTCCTGATGTGCTATCACTAGTAGGGATGTGCAGTACAGATCCTATCTTCCCTGTACTCAACCAGGGTTTAACTCAACTCATAATGGCTGTTCCCAATACTCTGTTAAAAGAATGGATGTTGCTTGAAGTTTTATTAGAGGCTTTTATCTATCAGACTCTTTGCTCTCTCTGTTGTGATTTTTGCAGCGTTTAAGTGTAGATTTTTCTCAAAATACTTGGTTCTCCAATTAAAGTAATTTTGAAGTGAGAAATTATGGTGAATTGTATTTTTTCCCTCTTCTCATTTCTGTCTGAACTACATTCTCTCTGTACCTGAGAATGTTTAATCATGTGATCTGCAGTCGCCTTGTGGATCCTGTTACTACTGATTTAAGAAATATGAATGCTTTAGCGAAGGTATGGATACTACTTTTTAAGTCTTTGGTCTCTTCTGTGCCGCTTCACATCTGAGTGCTGGATTAACATGCTGTTGTTTTGACTTTGGGGAATGACAGATTATGAGGCAAAAACGGATTGATAGAGGGGCTTTGACACTTGCATCTGCTGAAGTAAAATTCCAAATTGACACTGAAACTCATGACCCACTTGATATTGGTAGGTCCATGGTTTATGAACTGTGCCAAAATTCTGTCGAATTTGTTTTCTATTTTTCTTCATCCGAAATGATGGCATGCATTGTTCGGTACTGGACCAAGTCAGTCTCTTATCCTTTCTTATGACATGGTCATCTTGGACATTTCTATTTCTTTTTTTGGGTTAATATGTTGATGAAGGAACTGTTCTGTAGGAATGTACCAGATAAGGGAAGCGAATCAAATGGTTGAGGAGTTTATGCTTGCAGCTAACATTTCAGTTGCTCAAAAAATTTTAGATCATTTTCCCCAGTGTGCGCTTCTAAGGTACACACAAAGACAACATGAAGTACTCTACAATGTACATCAATAAAAAGCATACCATAATGCGTCTATATCTGTCTCTTCTGTATCTTTTGTTACTGCTTGTAAACTCTTCTCAATGTAATGTTGCCCGCAAAAAGCTGAATGTTCTATATAAGTATAGGAACGATGTTTTCTAACAGGATGCCTTAATCAGCCTTCCACCTTTGCCAAATGCAAAATTTCTTTTCCATTCTATGCTCCTCTGTATGCACAATTTATCCAGTGCATCTTTGAAATTTGCAGACGACATCCTACGCCAACTAAGGAGATGCTTGAGCCTTTAATAAGAACAGCTTCTGCTGTTGGTCTCCAACTAGATGTGTCATCCTCAAAAGCACTTGCTGATTCACTTGATCGTGCTGTGGTAAGAAATTCATCTGATGAACTTTCTAAACAAGCTGGAATCCCATTTCTGTCTTTGGCTGCATGTATTTTCAGGCAATTGTAGTGTGTACTTTATTTTGTGTGTGGTAACACTACAGTTCAGTTGAATTGAATGCTCGCTAGTTAAAATAGTTCCAACGTTTTTGACTATACAAATATGGTTGGTGGCCTTTGTTGAATCTCCACCAAACTGTAGAAGAGGATATTGTCTGTGAAGACACACTCCTATTGATTTATAATGGAAGCTAGATTGGTAATATAATTATTAGAAAAATTGGTCAGAAGTTTTATTAATATCTGACAGACAGATATCATATTATCAGTTCCACCATCATTAGGCTTTTGAGGTGCTACTGTGCAGTGATGGTTGTTGGCTAGGATTACATCACGATCGAACTTGTAGTGCACATTTTATTGGTGGATCAACAGTGTAACTCTGCAAATTATGTATGATCTCATCTTTCACAGGCCAATATATCTTTTTTAATTTGGGCAGGTGGTGATGGTGACTGCCCTAAATAAATAGGCAGTGATGCTTATTGGCCAATTTATTCTTGTTAATTGCAGTTGTTATTGTTATCTAATGCATTTGATTATTCAGTTTTGCTTCTGTTATGTAAAGATCCGTTACAATGGTTGGTTTCTGCATTCTTTTTTCCAGGGCAGCGATCCCTACTTCAACAAACTGATCCGTATTCTAGCTACCAGATGCATGTCCCAGGTACTTTGTTATGATAAATTCACTATGCCACTTGTCTTCCATTTTACTCACAGGCAGAGATTCTCGGCTCATTTTACCTCGCTTTTGATGTATATTTTTAGGCAGTCTACTTCTGTAGTGGTGAGCTCAGTGCTCCAGAATATTACCATTATGGTCTAGCAGCTCCACTGTACACTCACTTCACATCCCCCATTAGAAGATATGCAGGTAGTGGAAGTCACCTTACATCTTTCATCTACTTGTTAAAAGTGAAATGCCTACTGATTTTGGGCTTTCTTCTTTTAGACGTGTTTGTACACAGGTTACTTGCTGCATCATTGGGAATAAACAGGCTACCTGATGTCTTCCAGGACAAGGCGCAGCTTACAAATATTTCTGACAGTGAGTATTGCAATCACTTCATCTTCAAACATTAATTTACCTTGTCAAAATTAATGAGGTTATACTTCTTATTCGGATCTCATATGGAAATAGATGGGCTTTTTTCTTGTCTATCCATGTGGTCTCACATAAGTACTAACAGGCTCAAAGCTGTAAACATGTATGAATCTCTGTTGATGATTGAAGCTGCATTAATGGGGTTCTTTCTCTTTTCAAACTTTACTATGATCTGAATGTCTTTCTGAATTGCTGAAAGCATGAGCTAACAAAAATTCCAAGTTTTACTTGGGATATCCAATCATTTTCTCCTTCTGTTGAATCGTGCTCCTTTTTCATTAAATATTCATCATTAAGTGGCATTAGCATGTGTTTAGTCAAACCATTCAGCATCAGTGTCACCTAAGATCTTCTGTTCAATCAGTTCTTCGACTTTGATGATGGCCATAATTGTTTTGAACATGGAGTTGATACTTTTTATATGGCTCCTTTCAAGAATGTTGACAATCTTCTGTTTAAAACAGATCTGAATTATCGGCATAGGAATGCGCAAATGGCCAGCCGTGCTTCTGTAGAGCTTCATACGCTCATATATTTCCGGAACAGGTACGTTTTGACCTCACGTGGAAGTTTCATTCTCTAATGTCATTGCATTCTCCTCTGTCTCTTATTTCCTTTCTCCCCCCTATACTGCAGGCCTACTGATACAGAAGCCAGAATAGTGAAAATACGATCAAATGGCTTCATCGTCTTTGTACCGAAGTATGATTTATTTCCTGTTGGTACTTTGATTTTTGTTGTTTATTATGTAGCAACATTCTTCAATAAGACGACCAAAATTCCATTTGGACATGCCATCTTCGTATTGGTTAATTTCAAGTATGTTTAAGTGGCATTGTCGATTTGATAGCAGAAGTACTAGTATTGATCTGAGCATGTACTTCAATGCTGGAAACTGATAGTTGACAGTATGATCAGGAATTTTAGCTATGACTCAAGAGGGCGAAGTTGCTCACGAGTTGGTTATTGGAACTCTTTTGCAGGTACGGCATTGAAGGGCCAGTATGTTTGAGCAAGGAAGGAGGCTGGCTGGTTGATGAGCAACAACAGAGAATAAAAAAAAGCGATAATAGTATCTACTATGGAGTTTTGCAGACCGTGCAGATTCATATGGAGGTTGTGGAGCCCCAACCTAATCGACCAAAACTCCAACTCACCTTAATTGAAGATACATACATGACAAAGAAATAGGCGTAAGAATGTGCCAAGTGTTCCTCCTTGGTGCATTATCAACATTGTATGTTATAGCAGAACAAAGGAATTTCAGTTTGTGCCGCTGGAACCACATTTGTAACATTTTAAAACCTAGAGTTTGATTCAATATATAATCTATAAACCCTCGTGGCTAAAGGGGCACTCTTTTCCTGTTTTGCTGAAATAGCAAACCCAATATTCTTGAACACAACACACAGGGGTGCTTCCTTCGCTTGTAAATGTTCTTCTGGACAGGAAGGATTGTGGGCATACTGGAGATTGGTCAAAACATGATAAACTGAGTGCAGATAAAACTAAAAACTAGCGGATAGAAATCAAATATGGAAGTTTTCTTACCCAGCAGGGTGGTCCAAACGGACAGCCTCCACTCTTAGTCATGCGACGGCACATTTTTTGTCTTATAATATTCAAGCACTTCAGGAAATTTGCCTAAACCCTGCATCAAAGATTTAATTCAAGTTATATGCTTGACACTGGATTTTTGTTATATTATATCCGTTACTGAACGATGGGCATATAGATATTACTTATGCATAGAATTCTTCATTTATTTGTTCTAGTAAAAAAATTGTTAAATATAAAACCTTCTGTGTGCTTCACGATTTCTTTTTTTTTTTTCTTTTTTTTTTCCTTCTTTTCTTTTCGTATATTATGAAACTCGCAATCAACTGCTTCTATTCTATGGGAGTTTTCAAAACCAATATTTTTGATTATTTGGCCAGCATCCTTTCCACTAACTTTTGGTTCAAACAGAGCAAGAACTTGAATTTGATTTAGTTTAACTAAATCTTTAAGGACAGAGATTGTTTGAATACCTTGCATGTTCCATGCTAACTAGTATTTTGTTACTCATTTAAAAATTGATATTGATTTTTGGAGGGGCTTACCTACCTACCTCAGGCCAGGGGTTCCAGTGGATCGTTGGGATCATACAGCGGGTCGCCGGAGTCCATTGCTTCTGGTTGCAGCATTTCCTCGTCCCGGCTCTCGGATTCAGGGAACTTCTCCATCACTTTTGAGTTTTACCGTCGGTTTAAGGTTGAGTTTTTACCTTCGGTTTTACATTCTTGATCACTCTCAGATGAGCCAGCCTCATTGTCACTGGAAATGGACACAAATAAAGAGAGTACCCGCTAATGGTCTGGCAGAATTAGGCTTTAAGCCCAAGTTTTTGAAGGCCTCTAATGGGCTAATTATTGCAAAAAGCCGCTTCCCCAACACTCTCTCAATCTCCCCCTTTAATTTGAACTCAAATCTCCCTATAAATAAATAAATTATGAAGTCCAGTCCCTAAAATCCTTCATCCCCAGTAATCTCTCTATTGATTTTCTTTTTGATTAAAAAAAAGAGAGAGAGAGATTTTCCAATTTCATAATGGAAAAAAGTACAGTATATCTACGATTGCTACTGAAATTTCACATTTCCAATCAATTAGTATCTTTCTTTGCCTATAATCTATGTAACCCGATCTCTACTTTAAAAAAAGGAAAGAAATTGAAAGAGACGTCCAATATTTCTCCTCAGGTTTCAACTTTGAGCTGATTAGCATTTCTTTTTGTTTCCATTTTTGCATGATTTTTGTCCGCATATAAAGTCTTCGAAGTTCCGAGAAGTAAAAAATATATACTCTATTTTATTAAGCGTGATGATATATGTAAGAAAAGTTTACAGAAAAAGTTACAAGAAATTATGTGCCAATCACCTAAATTATCCTTAAACTTATACTTATAAATGTAGATAAAAAGTACTCCCTCCGTTCCATAATTATTGTCCAGTTTTACGAAAATGAAAGATTTTATTTTTGGTCAAACTTAACTATATTTTACCTTAAACAACCGGATATACCCCTACATAAGTAATTGTTTAACTACTAAGATTTTATGGATAATGTTTTTTACTAAGGACAAATGTGTAACTTGATCCATAAAAAGTCAAATTGGACAATAATTTTGGGACAAAATTTTTTGGGCAAAGTGGACAATAATTATGGGACGGAGGAGTATTAAAAATAAATGAATATGATAATTTTTTATCACTTTCAATTTTCCAAATATCATCGCACAACAAATGAAAAACGCATAACAAAATAATAAATCTCCAAGTCGGTTTCCGTTGAGAACGGATAACTACTGTGTATTGTGGATTTCACTTAAACAAATACTAAAGAATTTTTAAAAATAGTTTAATTTGCTTAAACGCGGATAAGTATTCTCTATTGTGTATTTCAACTTAAACAAATACTCAAGAAATTTTAAACATATTTTAATTTGTTTAAACGTAACGCTGCATGCTATTAAATTTCGGGTTCATAATTGTCAATTCCAAACCCGAATAAATGGGAACAAGATGGTTCATTTGCCTATTAATACACTCGCGTCACACATTTCAATAATTTTGAGTAAATTTTATTTTTCAAGTTTATATTCAAACTAGAATTATATTTTATAACTAATATAAGGATTCACTTTTTTCAAATTATGGCCTAAATTCTTCATTTAATTGTAGGAAAAATTTGGATTAGGGAGAATGGGGAGTTTTTAATTAATAAAAGGGGTATAAGTTTTAGATAATATAGATTAAAGGCAGTAAATTATTTTCTTAAAATCCTAAAATTAAATTATTTATACACTACCATAATTACCATTACTCTTTTAATCCTATCATGTTGAACTGAGAAAAAAGAGACAAAGCCCTTTTACTTTTTTCATCGTCGTTGGTGTTCCCCCGACGATCCAACACCACTCACCGCCGTAGATATTCTAGTTCCAAGGAGCCTTGAATTCCCTTTTCGATAAGAAGCCGTACGCGACGAAGTCCGCATTGTCACTACAACTAAGCTTTAATTTCCCCTCTCTTTGTAAATGGGAGACCTGACTACGTGGGTGTCCGACAAGCTTTAATTATAAAAACAACAACAATTTCTCATCTTCTTACACTTTCAATGGTCCTTCAAGTGGTAATGATCCGGAAATGAAAATAAAAAAGAGAATTGCAGCTTACAACATGTTCACTACTGAAGATAAACTCAAGGCCACCATGCAAGACAGCTTCAAATGGATCAAGTCCAAATTTAGTACCGATGTCCGTTATGGGATTTGTTTTTTTTTTTTTTTTTACTTGATCTTGTTTGCGTTTATTCACTAAGTGAGAAAATTTCAGGCAAAATAATGATGAATGAAGTCATCTTTAATGTATTAGGTGCATATGATAAAGCATATTCAGTCTGTCTTTAATGCAATGAAGTGGAAGGACAAAAAAGATGTTCCTGCAATAGGAGAATTGGTGGGATGGATGTTATTCTTACTAAGATTTTTTACCAGATAGGAAATTAATTGGGTTCTTTGAATTTCTAGTTGGGATTGATTTTGGTCAAGCTAAAGCTAAAGAGCTGTTATAATGTTCCTATATATACATTTGGTTAGATACTTCCTTAGTATTTGAAGTTATAAACATGTTCAGATTGTGTTATCTGAAAGCTTTTGCTTCTTTTTTTTTTTTTAAATATATCTTTAAAGCAGTTCTTAGTGATTAGGAATGAAATTTTATATTACTTCTTATGACCTAAAAAAAGAGTAATTGAAATTTTGAGCTTTGTACTATTTGTAATGAAAAGTGTATTAATTTTATCTTAATTAACCAATTTAAAATATAGGCACCCGTTCAAGCATTTTGTGTACTAACTAATATACATAAATATATTTTGCTCAGATAAATTTTTTTTTCAATTAACAACAAAATAAATACAGGGAGAGCCGCCCGGGCATTCGCCCGAATCTAGTTTTAGATTACTTATATCAACACAAATTACAAATTTTAAAAAAATAATTGGAATATGTAAAAAAAAAAAAATGTAACAAGAAAGTATCACAAAATACCCAATCCCAAATAACTTGAGGCAAACCAGAGAATGTAATGGAAAGTATGGAAAAATTTGTTAAACTCTGTATACACGCTGTCTCAAAATTTGTCTGGGAGAATAATCCACTTCTCTGAATACTGTAATCACGCATCAGAGGTACCACTGGAGTGAAACAATTTCCATTCATTCCATGCTTGCCTGGCTGCCTTGCACAATTTAATTCCTAAAACATATAACCTCCATTGCATATTTGCATTCCTGCCTTTCACTACCCAGTTCATACATACAACATGTCTAAGAACAACTCAGAAAATGACTTTCACAGTAAATGACTAGGAACCAAATCATATTATTACACAATCCTGACAGAGACCCAATTGTTTTACACAAAAAGGGGGAAATCCTGGAGAAGAAGAAGAAGAAGAAGAAGAAGAAGAGCCCTTCATCCTTCTGGTCCACAAAGAGGCATTAAACCACCAACAGGTGAAAAATCACCATGTCTTCAAGGCTTTTATTAAGTGATCGTTTTGCCATTCTCTTATAAGATCACCAGAGATGCGCTTTGTGCACCCAGCATTCCCTACATGGTAAACTTGAAAACAGGAAAAAGGTATACAATCATCAGGAAAGAGGGGCAAATACATTAGGGAAGGAGAGGGGGGGGGGGGTGGAGGAGGGAGTGATCCTCCAGGTACAACATGTAAAAAAGTGAAAGGGATGGTAGATCGAGAACGTACCACTGACAAAAAGACCAGCTTCAGGAGCTTTAAGTACACCAAAGCAAATTGCAGCTTTAGCCACATGTACAGCTCGAGCTGCAGAGATCTCACGATTCAAACTATAGAAATAGCAAAAAAGTCTATCGAATTCTCATTTAAGAATAACAGGGCAAAGTGTCAAAGAACTTGTATAAAACTAAACACACGTTAAAGCAATTACATAACAGTAAAAAAATTATAGCAGGCCAAGTATCACATTCTTTAATATATACTCCAACCGGTCCAAAGTATATGGCACAAATCAATACAAAATTTAGTTCAAATGTTGCCTTATAATTAGGACCAGAGGGGGTATTAGATAAGAATGCACATAATGAGCAGCTTCTTCATGGGTTACCAATCGCGATAAGTAAAAATAATCATATACAAGGAAACAGTGCCATACTCAAACTGCAGAACAGCAAGAGCACCCTTATCACCAGATCCAGTGGCAAATCTTACAAACAGAGGCCGTCTCCCGTTACAATACAGTTTCTCCTTACAGTCCTTTGGACATTTTAGTCAAAAAATTAATTTTGAAATTGGACTTCTAGGTAGGGGTTGTAATCTTAATTATGACGGCCCATTTTTTTAGGAGTGATGTTAGAGTTGTGATTATTGTTTTTATTCAATTTTCCGAAGTTGGTCATCATATACGAAAATGCGAATTTGGGCTGAGATTTTTTCATCAGCCTCGATGACTCTGAATCATAGCTTGGTCTATGAAATTTACAGGATTGGTGTTTATGATCGATTGTAGAGGAGGAGAAGGATGAGATGATGAATTCAGGCTTGCCTATTGATCAATTGTTGGAGAAGGAACTCCATGACAATATTCTTTCTTCTGATTGTTTTGGATATCTTTCGGGACTAAACGATTTCCATGGATTGTTAGAAGAGATAAAAGTTCGGGTGGATCATGTGGAACCATGGAAGACTAGAAGTCGCCATCCTTCTACAGCTTTCTGTGTGTTATACAAGTTTTTCACTATGAAGGTTTCTTTGGAACAAGTGCGTGATCTCTTGATGCACCCAGACAATACATGTATTAGAGCTGTGAGTTCATACTATCTGAAAACTTTATTTACGGATTCATTGTAAATGACTAAAACATTGCTAGTCAAAATACAAAAAGTTGAGTTTTTGAAATTGCTCTAACCGAACATTCAGTGTAAGATTGAATCTAAAATATTCCAGGGAAAAACATAGGTAATGATAATGTCGAGCAGGGAATACATTCTTTCTCAATTCTTTGAGGAAAGACTCGCTCCCACCAGATATAGCGGCAAGCATGCGAGATCTGAGTTCGATAATGTTGGGGACATTCAACTTTGATACTAAAATTTTATTAAAAAAATAGGAGTTAGTAGTGATGATCTCCAGGGCGGTCTGTGCACTTGCACCAGAAACGGTATGGACAGATCTCTCCTTCAATGCGATCAAAACAAACAGATATATTAAGCAAAGGTTAATTTAATCGAGCCTTGATTGGTTCTGGCTTTGACCTAATTATGTACCTCATCTAAAATAACATTTCGGAGATTCAACTGAAGCGCAAAACAAGCCTTAATTCAAAGGTAAAAGAAAATGAGAAAGCTACCTTTTTGCGGATTTTAGATGAGGGCCTGCGGAAGTGGGAGTCCGTCCTTCCCACCACCTTTATAAGTTGACGGGACAAACAAACAAAATCAGGAAGACTTCGACCACCAAACAGAACCCAAAAGTCCGAAGGAGAAAGGAAAAAATATAAAGACGTCATATAGAGTTTTCTTTTTACCTCTCCTTTCCTTTTGGAGAGAGATTCTTCTTGCTCGAAACTTGGGGGTTCCAGACGCGCTACAGAAGTTGTAATCTTCGTTCCATCTTTAGGGTACCCATCATCACCAAGCAGAAAAAATTCAAGAGAAAGAAAAAGAAAAATTAAGTGAGATCAGATAATATCGGGAACCCGGGGCGGTGGAAAGTACTCTGGGAGTTTCATCAGATCCACGCAACTCACTCATGACTCTCGCACCTTCAAACAAACCTAGTAAAGATAAACAAAATCAAGCGGGTCGACATAATTTCTAGCCCTAATTTGATGAAGAAAGCGGAGTTCAAACCAAATCGACCAGAGATCTATTATTAGTTTACCTGATCAACGCTGATTTTCCAAAGTTTTTTCTTTGGGAGAAACTCGCGGCGCTTCTCTTATACCTACATATTGTTTTAGGATCAATAGCGAGCAGAGTTGTGTTCTAAAAAGTAAAACACAATAAATCAGTAAAAACTGGTAAAAATTGTCATGAAGGGCAGGTTTTATACTTTTTATTTGCGATCGCACTTTCGAAACAACGCCGCCACCACTGACCGCTGTTATAGTTGTGGCTGGCCTGTGAACCGCCGGCCGAAATTCCGGCCACACACACGCGCGCGCACACACACACACACACATATATATATGCTTATCTTGAAAATGTGTTACCTTGCAGCATAATCATCATGGTAATAAAGCTTTCAAGATCATTACAAATAAACGTAAATATGTCCAAGATGAAAGAACCCTTCTGTATCATGTTGAAATTTGAATTGCTGATAAGTGATAACTATAAGAGTCAGGGTTTTTTTTTTTTTTTCAAGAGGATCCCCTAATATCTTCATTCTCAAGTTGGATGAAGATGCATCTTGAGTTTTTATTGTGTGTAGAATCTTTTATTTTGCCATACTAGATTTAATTGAGCAACAAAAGGAGATTGATCATGTACTTTTTGTGTTAAATTCCATTCCACTTGCATTGTCATCGTAATCCTTTGATCCTAGAACAGTTCGATAAATGAAACAATTTTTCTTGGGACGGAGGAGTAACATGAATTTCTTTGGATTCTTTTTTGAGAATCTTCAATGATTCAAGCTCAAGTTTTGCTGGTAAGAAGATTCATTCAAACTTGGCTATGAGATCAACAACTGACAATGGCTAAACTAAAACTTTATGTCGGTCTGTACATATCACGAGAACAACGCAACAAACAAACAAAATCCTTAACAAGCATGTTCACCCTCAATGGTGAACTTTTTCTTGGAGACCTATTTCGTGATTCTAATCCACAAAACAAACAAATCGAAATAATAATAGGAATCCTTACTGAAAAATAATCAAGAATGACTTGCGATATAATCCTATTCTTCCATGACTTCTGTATAGTGGGTTCTTTCCCACCCGTCTCTTTTTGTGCACTTTTTCCCAAGATTGATCCAAAAATTACCAAATCTATACTTCTATTACTATAACAGTATCGCTACAAGTTTGGCATGAGCCAACCAAAAAATAGCTGTTTATGTCAAGATCCACATGAAGATTGTGGACCATACCGTCAGCCCCAACACAGCAACCAGGTAAGTCCACAAGAACAGAACTGAACACTCTTCTTGAGCCACATCAAAGAGTTGTGTCATGGTGCCTACCATCAATAACAATAAAGGGTTTATCAAAGATTGATTAAGCGAGAGTGATTTAGTATTTTCTTCACCAACTCAATGCTTAATCATTTTAGACAACCAGGAAAACAAAGCAAAAAGGTTTCGTACCAATATTCATGGCTGGTGGCAGAGCATATTGGATCATCAGGACAAAATGGTAAAGGGGATCTGATGGAAGCCACCCGAAATGATTTGCTGCTTTCACCATCCCAATTCCAATAAGAGGAAGAAAGATGTAACGCACACAGATGACAGCAACGATGACCAGCGGCTTCAAATGTCCGCGGCGTAATCCTGATCAAATTTATTGATAAGAACATTGTTAGAAGAGTGGCAATTCATATGAACCACAATTGTTTTGTTGATACAGAGGAATTTACATTAACATACCTTGTGTTAAGTTGCCACCGAGGATAAGAGTAATGCAAGGTATAGTTCCATCTCTGCAAGATCAAGACAATTGTGGACTGAGTTCAAGAAATATTTGGAAGAGTTTGATCAGTTCCATCGCTACAGTTAATTTTATGTACCCGAGTAATGTGACAGAGTCTTGAATCACATGGAGTGGGGCATTTTCTCCAATGATGATGTTTTTCAAAAATTTAACAGCGCCAAAGATGAATCCTAAAATCTGAAATTCAATTAAAGGTTAGTGTGAAATCTTCAAGGTGAGTTACAAATTACAGTTACAAACCACAAACAGTGTGAAGGTGGTGAAATCTACCGCGGCAAATGTTGGAGGCGACATTAACTCCTCTAGTATCTGGTGCAGGATTCCTACTAATTTGATCCAGAACGAAGGCTTACTTTCATCTGACATGAATGACGATTTTCGGGACACAATCTATAACGAAAAGATACAAAAATTTCAATACACATAACTGAAAGCGATCAGTAAATTCAAAGTGATGCATCAAGAGAGGCAAAACCATTAGTGTTATAACATACCTTTTTGTTTTCAGTAGATTCTGGTGCTTTAGCAGATGCAGAAGCATGGTCTCGTTCTCCAGCCTCAAGAAGGTTAGCTTTCTCATCAGCATCCAAATCTTTGTTGGGTTCTTTTAAATCATCCTCCTCAGATGCTACTAAAGCTTTGTATCTCACCGCGGAAGTTTTTATCAGTTGGAAAGTGTATGTCCATATGTAAAAACCTCCAAGCTGTAAAACAATCAATTAACATTGTTTCCAACTTGATCAGACTAAAGAAAAAAAGGACAAAAGGAAAAACACTTACAGCCATGGAAAAAGAGGCGTAAGACATTCCCATTCTAGAGCAAACTTGATGATCACCAAATGGACTGCCATCCTCTGAGCAGATTGCCGGGACAATGATCAACAGAAGGTTTCCGAGGTTTCCTATATAAAGATAACCATCAGAATCTATACAACGAGAAGAATTCTGGAATCATAAGCAGGAGATACAATGATGTGATTGGTACCTGATGAACAAGCAGCCATAACAAGGCCTTCCAGATGAGGTTTTGGCTTTATCAATTTCACGGCTATCCATCCAAATATTCCTCCAAACAGAAACGTGAAGCCGATATTGATTGGCATGAACCACCTGAATGCATTAGGTTACACGTTCAAGATACTAATCAACCTTAAAACTTTTGGCATTTTCATTTTTTGCAAAACTCAAGAACTTCATTAGGCCTTGAAGCTGTTCGTGAAGTTCCTTCACATGAAACTAAGTCAGAAATGTAGAGACGAAAAGGAACCAGTGTATACCATGATATGATATCTTCAAGGGTAACCGTCTTTGCCAAACTAGCAAACATGAGTGACGGCGTAAACACCACGAACACGATCTGTGAAACCGAAACATAATCATTTACAGACTTTATAAAGGAATAAAACCAGACCAGAATCCAGAGGGACAACTAAATTTGAAACAAGAACCACCACAACAACAAGAAAAAATGCGAAATTTGTCAGTAAGTTACCTTGTTTAGAGACTTTCGAGCATCAGCAGGCAGAAGATTCAGATATTCAGTAGCCATAAGTGCTCCTAAACTGCTTATAAGGAGCACCTGCACGATTGGCATTGATGCCACTTCTAATAATGTCCAAAATCCCATCTTTGTGTTTTGAACTCCTAATTCTTTTCAATGATAACTCTCCAAATTAAACCAAAGGAGCTCTATCAATATAACAAAAGGGATTTGGCTCTTTCTCCGAAAGCCCTTCAGTCAGCTACTAATAAATTGACAGACTGATCAAAGGAAATTGAACTAGAAGAAGAGGAGGAAGGTCCTGCAGTCACCAGTAATTTGTGGAGCAACATTTTCAGAATCAATGCATCAAAATCAATAGAAATCATCAGAATAACAGGACATGATTTATACAGAAATTACTTAACAGCTGCAATCGTATAAAGCTAAATTCTTTGATCCTTTTCATCATTACTGGGATAGTGGGGATTGATGCTTTAAATTTAAACATCCTTAAAAATTGACCACCCACATCTTTAATATGGGTCCAAACTTCACAAGTATTTACTGTTTCTTTATACTCTTTTTCCCCTTTTCTGGCCAATACAATTCTGTTAGAACTGGAACAAAAACAGAGCATTCAAGCAGGGTCTTTTTCAAAAGCTGAAAAAAACATCATGTTATTTGTTATATTCTCATAAATTAAGCTTGTATTCTTTCATTAACACTCCGAAAATGTTGGGAAAAGGAGAGAGAGGGAAATTCAGAAAAATCAAGGAGACAGAAATAAAATTCCATCAGTTTACAAATTCTTAAACATGAACTGTAACAGAATTCTTACTGTTTGTTTAAAGGAAATCGAATTTGGAAATGGAAGTAGATGAAGCAATAACAGGGGAGGATGCAATTTTTTTCACAAATTTCATATGCAATTGAACTGGGAACAACAATCATTAATTCAAAAGATTCTCCAGTCTATAAAATCCCCAAAACCCAATAGATTTTGTGAATCCACAAAGAGTAAACAGAGATGAATTGAATAAACCACGTTGGTTGGTTACAAGTTACAACAAATAATATAATCATTCCAACCGAACTTTCATGCACATTGAAACGTAACCAGAGCCCAACAGAACCATCCAAAACACATTAAAATACCCAGAAAACAAATCCCAAATTTCGGGAAATCCAGAAACAGGTCGGGATAAATTAATGGCGGAAACACCGAATTAAAAATGATCACCACAAAGAGGAGAAGCTGAATGAATTTTTTTTTTTTTTTTTAAAAAACACACGTTAAGAAATTCCCTTCATAGCTCTACCATTTTCCAAAACAGCTGGAATGCCGCATGTCAGAACATGAATCATTTTGGAAGAACGGAAAGATCAAAACGAAACAGAGTTCGTGAAAAGATTAAGAATCAAAAGAGAGAAAGGCACAGAATCAAATATGGAGAAACTAACCTGGAATCAAAAATGTTGGGTTGATAGAATTGACAAAAATTTGAACTTGAGAAGAAATACAGACAGGTGGAAGAAAATTTAAACAAGAGAAGCTGTTCCGCCATTGATACACCTATGTTTACGCGTCCTAAGCAATGTATTTATATAAGGAAAAATTTGTGAGTTGAGTAAAGACTACATATATGATCATATGACGATTGTCTGATGTGGTAAAGCTCAAGACGTTCAATTCTCATTTGTATTTTGTTGATGGTTGTTGTATTAGTCCTCCATATTTTATAGAGGAGAAGAATCCCAAGTGAAAGAAAACTCTAGGCTTTTAATTTTTTAAAAAACAATTTCTTATCCTTTTCTTACTAGGTTTGGTAGCAAACACCAAAAGATAACTTTTTACAATTACTACTCATGTTGAGATAATAACAATTTTAATTTGATGATATATTATTGGACCCTTTATATGGAGGAAAATTAGAATCTACAAATCATCATCTAAATTTGTAAAGTAAAAAGGTAAAAAAAAAATTAAACAAAAGATTTGAACCCAAAAAGAAAAAAAAAAAAATCTTCCCACACCAGTTATTATACATTTAATTAATACACCTGTAATCATTTGCCAATTAATGCTTACTAATCACTTTGTTACTGGATTGGTATTAATGTAATCGGCTTATCTTATCAAATTAGTATGAATTGTATGTGATAAATATAACACCAAAAGTATGGCAGAAGATATATGTTATGAAAAAAGATCCACATATTGTTGGAGAGTGAAAATGCATTTGTTAAATTTGACGGCATACGATTTAATTTTATTTTATTTTTAATTTTTTTTTTGTATATTTGCTTTCTTTTCTTAATCTATGTGGAAAATGGTGGGGCGAATTTGTTGGAATAGGCGGAATGGGGGGTATAGATAGTACCGGATGCATGTTTCTTCAATTATTTCATAGCAAAATTTCTCAAATAGCACCTTCCTCAAGTAACAACTTGACAATTTCTTGGAGGACCATTCAATTTTCTTTTCCTTTTTTTAATTTCTGAATTTTGTTTTTCTGAGGAAGTTCATGACTGGAACTCCAACGAATAAGCCTTGGTATTGTGTTTTATGTGGGGGTAAGGATTAATCTAATTGCTACGTGTGACAGGATGAGTTTTAAATGTACAAAGTAGATATGGATAATGAATCATCTCTACTGTAAAATTTTGGATGATCTTATGTTCTTCAGTTTTGACATAAATTCATCAATCTAATGGGTCGTAACCCCTTATATTTCTCTTTTCGAGGATAAACCTTTTTTTCTTAACAAAAAAAAAAGGCATAAGTAAAAGTTGGCAAGGATTATAAGTTAGCGAGAAAAAATATTAGTTTTCGTTATCAAATGTGAACATGTTGTAACATAGGGGAAAAAAAGGGGTAGGATGGTTAGGGGATTAGGATGGGAGATAGTTATTATCGAGAGGTTAAGGGTTTGATTTAATTGGAGTCATTCAATTTTAAAATTAAAAAAAAAACAACATAGGGGGAAAATATTACAGGGAATTCGATCTGATATGTAGATGGACGGACGTAGTAGTAGCTAGCTAGGATCAAACCCTTCGCAGTCTTCTTTTCCTTTTTTCTTTTTCTTTTTTCCTTGAGGTAATTAGCAGAGATGAGACTAATCTATTTCTCCTTGACTCCTTCCCACCCTCAAAGGTGGAAATTATGTTCTTTTTGATCCCAATAAAAGCAAGTAAAATAATTTTGCATTAAAATAATATGAGGAAACTTTTTCTTAATTATTAGTGAGGAAAATGGTAGAAGCACTTCAAAAAAAAATACTAAAATGTTAAAGAATATACATTCATTGCATTCCAAGTTGGTTGTATGTCCAAGTGGCTTTCTTTGAACTTAAAAAAAAAAAAACAAAAGATTAAAGAGTATTCAAGTGTGATTTTGCATGTGTTGTCCAATTAAGACTTCAAATTGGTTACGTAAGCAGAGAAAACCCCCTTATTATCGTTTAGCGGTTAACCACTTCTTGGCGCTTCGGATGGTTGAACAAAGGTCTTTATTGAATTGCGTTCATTAGCCGTTTTAGTTGATTGAAGGCCAATGAAGTCTCTGTTCGGAAAGGTAATAATACTAATATTGGAATATTGCAACTCATAACCTATGTTTTAACTTGGTTTCAACGAATTCAATCACTAAGTTAAATTAGAAAGTAGATTTCGTGTAATTAGGATACATTCAAGTGATATAAGTGATGTTCAGATGGAGAATATCGGACTAGAGGCTCGTACTGACGCCCAATTGCATCACCAGATTAATAATGTATCTCTTGAACGTGATCAGCGTAAACATGTTATTCCGATTAAAACATGCCTCAATCCGACTAAACATCCAACTGTTGTGATTGTGGACAGTCCATATGAGTTCGATAATGTAGAGCATTTGATGGTCGATGCGAATCAAACTAGCAGGTGGCCGAATCCTTTTCTAGAGGAGCCGTTAGCTAGGTGGCAAAGTGATGGTAGTCCACTTAATGATATTGCAGAAATGGATGATGAAACGAATTTAAGATCTAGAGTCCCAAGGAGTCTTTGAAGAATGGTGTCGTGGTATTATTTGAAATATGAATATCATGCATTATACCTAAAATAGAAGGGTTAGATTTTTTCTTGTTATACTTAATCTTATTTTTGTGGTGATAATACACGACTTAGTCGGGAGTTTTCATTCACAAAATGTAATAGTATAGATTTTTAAGCTTTGTCCTTCTTTATTATACCAAAAAAAAAAAAAAGAAAAACAAAGAAAATAGATTTCGTGTAATAACATTACAGTACCTTTATAATTAGATAATATGTTACTCTTTTCAAAAATTAACACCGTAAGAGTTAATGTATGTTATATTAAAGGGAAAAAAAATGTAATTACGGACGTCGGAAAAAGTACCAGAAAATTACATCATTTGGATTTTATCATTAGTAATTCCCCACGATATTGTATACTTTGTTTTCGATTATTCGAAAGGCCAATTAATCAGACCGAGGTTTCAGTTCATGAGTTGAAAGGTTGCATATTTTTTTTATTGGTGAAGATCGATTGATGCATCATATAATTTGGTAGCTAGCTTTCAGTTGTTGGTCTAAGATTTGAGGACGTACGTTGTTCATGACCTACGTGTTAGACCAATGGAATCAAAATTTGTTGAAGAATGATTTGGTGTGGGGATTGGTGAAGTTATTGTGTAATAAAAAGTTATATTTATTGCAACAGTTGCTTCGCTGGAATTATTTATTAATTGGGATATCAATCTCGTGGCTGTCAACAAGTGTAAATAATTAAATACAGGCAGAAGCATTCCAAATGGCATGTTATTCATCTGGAATTTGAAATAAAGGGTTTTCTCCCATCCACCTGGATATTGGAAATCACACGTGACACGTCACTATTCAATTCCACACTTCTTGCAAGATGGGCAGCGGGCACAATTAGAAATTTAGGATGGACCTGGAGTTATGAATTCAATGTGACCAAGTAAATACTCCTTCCATTCCAAAAAAAGTGTCGTCCTACACTTTGCACATAGTTTAGGAAACTCTTAAATAGGGTAATAAAATTACTTGAATATCCTCAACCAACCCCATTATAAAATTATCCACCAATAGCATCAACTTTTTTTAGGGTAATTTTGGAAACTTTTGACAAAAAGTGCATTGAAATGTGTCAACGACACTTATTTTAGAATTTCTCCATTTTGCTAAAACGACACTTATTTTGGAATGGAGAGAGTAATACATGCCTTAGTGTAGGCCTTGTTTGGTCACCCTTCCATTTCACATTTTTACTTATTTTATCTCTTAAACACAAAATTCAATGGAAAAGAAAATATCACCCAAACGACTTTTTGATTTACATTTTAAATTCCAACTTGAAACACTTTTTGTTAGTGTAATGACCATTTTAGAACTACAAATAGTTCAGTGACAAATTTGGCAGGATTCAGTTGTTGAGTGATTGTTTTTGGAAAAGTTCTTTTTTGCAATGACAATAATTAACAGTATTTAATTGTTTAGTGATGACTTGTACTTGATATTTCAAAATGTAGTTCAAAATATTTTTTTTCAAAACCAACATCCAAACAACATTTTTATTTCTCATTTAATTTTCAATTTGAAACATTTTCCACTTTTAAGTGGCAAAATGAAATGTAAGTTGACGTCCAAACAAGCACTTAGTGATCCAGCCTCCGAATTTATTTTTAGTACTACTACATTTGTCTTAAAAAAAATAATCCATATTTAGTTTTGAGATATGTAATAAAAATATTTAAAATCTTTACTCAATGTAGTCTATTTCTTTGAGACAGATAAAAGATTTTCATATCTAAATTCCAAATGGTTAAAAAAAAAAGAATATTGGAAGCTTAATATGAACATTTTTTTTTCTTCATAAAAGAGAGTATAATTACACTCGGGTTAATGTCAAATCTATTAAACTCATATTTGTCGTACAACCTCCATCTTAAAATAATTATCACGTTCATTATATCACTTTAGTATAACAAATGAAATAATCAATTTGAGACAGATATAGTATTTTCCATCTAGAAATTGGTAAAATCATCATCTTAACCAAAGTATGCTTTCTATTTGCTAGATAAGCATGACAAATAGACGGTGCCTCAAGCAAAGCAGCCGCCATGGAAATGAGCTGTTTTCCCCACTTTGGCAAGTAGCAAAAATTGGAGTAGAGCCTGGTGGAGGCATATTCATTTTCATCAATAGTTACGTACGATCCTTTTTAAGCTTTCATCAACCATCATCCATCCATCTTCAATGTTCCTCCATCCTGACCTTAATCATTTTCATCATTAATTTAAAGTCTAAGATTTGACGAGCTGGTCATTGAGAACGAATAAGTTACGTAAAAACCATTCTCTACTGTTTTTATTTGGTTATACTCCCTCCGTCCCATAATTATTGTCCAATTTTACTAAAATGAAAGATTTTATTTTTGGTCAAATTTAACTATATTTTACCTTAAACAACCGGATATACCCCTACATAAGTAATTGTTTAACCACTAAGATTTTATGGATAATATTTTTTACTAAAGACAAATGTGTAACTTGATCCATAAAAAGTCAAATTGGACAATAATTTTGGGACAAAATTTTTTGGACAAAGTGGACAATAATTATGAGACGGAGGGAGTACAAAGTAAAAATAATAATAATAATAATAAATTATTACAAAAACCAAAGACGGTATTTGGAGTGTGCCTCGATCGCCATTTAATTGTACAACTAACAATACATATTGCCAGAGTCTGTAGCAGTAGAACCGTTTTTTTTTTTTTCTTTCTTTATTGGTATGAATCAACTCAATAATATCATTCCAAATCCAAGATCATAGTCCCGTCAAGATGTTCTATTTTTGTCAATGAACTGGTTACGTATGACTCGCAAGTTTCTAAAAAGGTTGCAACGGATTCATTTGAGACTATATACGTACATCTAAACGCTACGGAATGTTATCGTTGAATAATTTGAGTAATAATTATACTGTGCACAATTACACCGATCGAGAAACGTCTATACATAATAAATGTCATAAAATTATTCGGGTTTAAGGGATTAATATGTTGGCCAGATATAATCTCACGAGCAAGAAGCAAATTAAAAACATTTTCAAATCTGGCAGGCTGTTAAACGCCCTAAAAATCTCCCTTCAACGCCCTAAATAAATACCAAATGACCATTTTGCCCTTTACATGAATTTATAAATAAAGAGTTTCAATTTCATTCATTCAATTCCTAAATCAATCTTTCATTTCAAATTCTCTCAATCTAAATACCTAAAAATCTTTAATTTAATGGGGGATCGAGTTAAACGGCTACGAAATGAGCTACGCAAACTAAAGGTACGTAAATTTGAATTTGAATTGTTTTAAAGTTTATTTTGAAAAAAAAAAAAAAAAAACTCCACGCCAGGCCGGCGAGAGAAACATGGCCGGGCAAACAGAGCTGGCGCACAGATCTGCGCCAGCTCTGTGAGGGGTGGCGCAAAAATTTTCGCCACCCCTCACAGAGTCGGGCGCAGACCGTGCGCCACTTCTGCTTGCCCCTGGCGGTTCTCCTCGCCGGCCGGGCAAGGAAGCGCTGGCTCTTCGCCACCGGAAGATGGGGTGGCGAAGAATATTCTCGCCAGCCGGTTGAGCTCAGCGAGAAAAACTGCTACCGGCCGGTTTTCTTTTTTTTTTTTTTGTTAATTAATTTATATTTATATTTATATTTAATTATTTAATTATTTAATTATTATTTAATTGTTACTATTAGTAAATGTTTGTCTTATGAAATTTAGTTTAATTATTTGTTATTAGTGAAATTAATTAGTTATTTTTATTAGTTTAATTTATTTTGGAATTCAATTGTAGTTTTAATTTAGTATAGGTTTAATCTTCAGTAAATAGAATAGTTATAATACTTTTATAGTTTTAGGAATTTAATTGTATTTTTAGGGAGTTTAACGGTTTGTAAATTAAATTGGATTATTATGAAAGTTATTATAATTAATATAATTATAGAAAATATATTTATTGGATTAGTCGGTATAATTAATATAATTAGGCTAAAAAATTAAATATTTACTATAGGAAAATTAAATAAATAAGTTATAATTAAAAAAATACAGGAGGTTAGTAGATAATTAAGGTTAATAAGAAATATTTATGTAGTTGTAAGAAAAAATAAATATGTAGATATTATTAATAAATTGAACACTTTAGATGTAGAGTAGAGAATATTATAATTACATATTTGAAGGAGTGTTCAAATGAAAAAATAAGGAGTGTTCAAATAATTAATAAGGAGTGTTCAAAGTTATTATAATTAATATAATTATAGAAAATATATTTATTGGATTAGTCGGTATAATTAATATAATTAGGCTAAAAAATTAAATATTTACTATAGGAAAATTAAATAAATAAGTTATAATTAAAAAAATACAGGAGGTTAGTAGATAATTAGGGTTAATAAGAAATATTTATGTAGTTGTAAGAAAAATAAATATGTAGATATTATTAATAAATTGAACACTTTAGATGTAGAGTAGATAATATTATAATTACATATTTGAATAATATAAAACTGTATTAAACTAATTAATCTAAGTTACGTGTAAAATTTGAAACTGTTGTAGGATGGGATATCGCCTCTTCAGGATCCGGGCACGGCATGCGCTACGCGCAATCTGTATGCCGAACATCGAGCGTAAAAGAAAAAAGTTAAAGAAAGTGAAAAATGTACATCCTACGTTTGGCCCAGTTGGTGAGTCAGCCAACGTAGACGATGATGATGATGATTTTGAGGGAGAGGATTCAGCAGAGGATAGTTATGAGAGTGGGGGGGACGATGTGGCTGAGGAGGATGACACATCCTCGTTTTCCTCGTATGAGAGGAGGGATATACGGATTGGAGATACCTCAGTACTGAACCCCATTGGTCGTACTGTTGATCAGACTCTAGTTCACCCTACCCGGGGGGGGAAGACCCTTGTTGGATTATCGGCCCTGAATTCAGCTTACACTCCTGGTGGTTCCAGTGTTCGTCCCGGTCTACAGAGTACTCTTGGGCGAGGTCAGAGTACTACTCTTGGGCGAGGTCAGAGTACTACTCTTGGGCGAGGTCAGAGTACTACTCTTCAGCATGCATCGTCATCAGGTACGTATTTGTAATAATTTAAGCATTCATTACTGTTTGGTCAATTTCTTAATTGCATTCGATAAAGTATTTATACACTATTCGTTATTCGGGTTTCAGGTACTAGCAGACGGTCTAAGGTTTCTACCGAAGAAATTGATGATTGGGTTGTGACAGACGACGACTGGCGGGCCATGTGATGGGTCGGTGATTCCTAGTTTTCTTGGACACACCGCTTATCAGTTGTGGAATGGAGAACCACGAGATTACCTTACCATTAAGCCAGCGAAGAAGAGTTTGTCTAGATTGCATGGATGGTATGCGAGGTTGCCGGAGAACGCACAGTTGCAGATTCAGCATACCGGTTTGTATCATCTCATTGATACCATGTATGATGACATTGACCTTGCGCTTGTTTCTGCCTTCATAGAGAGGTGGCACCCGACACAAACTCTTTCCACTTGCCGTTTGGGGAGATGACCATTATGATGCATGATGTGGCACACATTTTGGCGATTCCCCTTGATGGTGACTTGTTGATGCAACATGCGGAAGGTGAGATTTTGAAGATGCAGGTCGCAGGATTGCTTGGGATGTCGTTGGCTGAGTTAAAGCGTGCATGGAGCCACGGAGGTGTGAGCGACATATTGATTGAGGAGTGTTGTCGTAGGGTCCTCCCCGCTGTTCAGGTGCAAGCTTGGGTGTGGATCTTGTTAGCCTCGACACTCTTCCTTGACAGGAGTGGGGGCAGGATCAGTGCTTCGCTTATGACTGAGCTGCACGGAGGTATTGACAATATTGGAGAGTACTCCGGGATCCGTACACTAGCATTCCTCTACCGTCACTTGGTATTGCTAGTCGAGCGGGGTGTACCACGATGGCTGGTTGTATGACCCTTCTCCGCATGGATATATGAGTATTTTCCATGCTTCCACCCTCCAAGAGGCGAGGACGTCGAGGTGTTGTTGGTTGGCCCAGAGCCCGAGACTGGACCCCGTTAGCTATAAGGGCCGAGGCCTATTCATAGTCGTCTCCAGCAGATTCGTACGCAGCTCGACGCGATGACCGAGCAAGAGGTACACTTTATATTTCATTTCCGTATATTACGTAAGGGGTATTTATTTTTTACACTATAATAAATGTTGCTAACGTTTGCAGTCGAATGGGAGCCATTTGGTCGCGATCAGCCGCAAAGACATCCCAGACCATCTTCGGTGGGTGGATTATGTACCACGACTTCCGTGAGCCATACATGCCGAGAGAGTGCTACGCCACTCGGTTATGTGCAAGACATACCTCGCGCGCCGCTCACACCGGTTACTTAGTTTCGTGGGAGAAATGCGCACAAGTATTTTGTTGAGCGTCCTAGTGCCGAGACATGTAATCTGTTGGGTTAGATTTCCGGAGTCGGAGTGCATCGCCTCGGTCATTGTGTGCCAGTATCGTCTACCGAGGTAGGACAGCACTGTAGATTACCTCGACCGGTACAGAGCCATTCACATCCATTTTTACTGCCGGAGTCCGTATGCCTACATCACGCATCCTAGGGAAGAACTGCACCACATACGTAAGTTCAACTCTAACAAAATTACCCATTGTTTAATAATACACGTACTATCATTAAGGGATTAATTTGGTTTGATTTAACATTTGTAGTGGATGCGTGAGATGGAGAAGTTGACTCGAGGTTGCATCGATGATTTGAAGAAGCTCGATGTGGGTGTAGGTGAGAAGTGGGATACTCGCCTGGATGATGTCATCTTCCAGCATACCAGCCCCATGACATTCTACTTATGATGATTCTGTACAATTATGCAATGATTCTGTACTTATGAACAATATGCACTTATGTTTGTTTGCAATTTAAATTTTAATTTACGTCACCATCTGTGCTTCAATTTCCAAAATATATATATATATATATATATATACACAAAAGATCACCCCAGATCTTCAAATGCCTGTGTGGGTCTTATCCGAGGTACCAAAGTTCGCCATAGCTGTAGTCTGGACTCAAAAGGTTCATCCCAACCAATAACACTACTATCACGATCATGCCTCCAACTGAGGTGAATGGGGGGAATCGGGAAATCACCCTGTAGATTGAGTCGAATGAAGTGTTGGTAAGGATTGAGGTGGCAAATAACTATCTGGAACTCAGGTCTTGTTGCCCCGCCTCGTGCGCTCGGTGGTAGCACACCCAACATGAGCCGTTTAGATTTTCAGCCGCGCGGCATCAAGTAGTACACAACCGCATTGAAATATGTAGCAAGGGGATAAAAGTCATCTGTCGACATCCAAGTGACCTAATGCGGTGCTCGTCCACCGTATACGCTCTAGGCTCTCACCATCCGTCCCACCTACACAAAGACACGGTATGAAAGTTTTTTAAAAATAACAAGAAGACAATTGCTCACCAACATTAAACTGGTTGCATACCCGTAAATGTTCCCATATAGGCCAGGTTATTTATAACCTCATCATAACATATCTGTCTCGCACAAAATGTGATTATTCGCCCGCCCAACATACAACTCGCAAAGACACGGAAACCACAATTGCCGTCAGCTCGACATCAAGATATGATCGAACATGATTGTGGAGTACTGCGAATCCTATTCTTGTGGCTAAACTGGAAAAAATCTGTCTGCATAACATCTTTAACCACGTAAAATAATATCATTATTTCTGAATTATGTATTAGTAATTAAGTCTGAATTATGTATTACAATATAAATTATAAACTTACCTCCGACATGTGGTTCGGAACCCGACCTGTTGCCTCTACTGGAACTGCTGCTGTTCGTCTCACCTTGCCCACCCATGGACTCGTTATAGCATGGGTAAGTAACAAAGTAAAATAATTTATCACACATTTAAAAAGAGAAAGTAATATCGGACCTCTGTTCTGATCTTCAGCTCCCGACGTATGCCCTCTACTGGAACTATGGGTGTTCGTCCCTGATTTACTGGAACCGCTGGTATTCGTGCCACCCTGATTGCCGTCCCTGTATGCCCACACATTCGGTTTGTCTTGCCTTTTTTAGAGATGCCCTCTTCTTCTGGTCCGCCTTGCCTCTCTTTCCAACCCGCGGTTCATTTAATCCTGCTTGGCCCGGTGGAGTTTGTTGTACATCAATCTGGTGATCTCGCGCCGTATAGGCTCATCGCCAGCTGCTTCAATTCTTCCACTAACCGGCTGAACAACAACTGTGAGGAGGAACATCATCCGAACCATCCTTCTCTCGTAACCTCACCGATGTCAAGTGTGCTCCAAAATTGGTGTAAGTATTTTGGAGTTAAAATATCGTTGGCCTCCATTACACGCTTAAGTATACATGCACAAGGGATGGAATGAGTTTGTTTCGTAATGATTGCATTCCCAATATACATCATCTCCGAGTTGTTGCATCCTTTCTAATTCATTTTTCAAAAGATCCAAGCAAGGTGTGAAACATTGCATCTTAATTGGTAGAAAGGGTACTTGTTGTGTTGCCTCCTATTTTCTCGCCTTGATTCTTGCAATTTCTCCCCGTACAGAATTCAAAAAATTAATTAAACAACCTAAACACACAAATTAACTAAAAAGGGATCAACAGCCCGTACCTTATTTGCGTAAGTCGTGTCTCCAAGAACATGTGAACCCCGTGCCACACCGTTTCAAAGAAGCATTTGGAATGACGAGCCATTCCTTTAACAACTTGTGTGCGCTCTCCACTCTACAGGTAGTGGTGTTGCCAAAATGCAAATAAGTGTTGGTCCATGCACGCACAAACTTGTGCGCCACCACTAACCATGTGTTCCTAACATACTGTATAACGGCCTGAAATTGGATCCAATTATGCTCCAGAAACTGCACTTTTTCTTCGTATGCGTCTTTAGTTTCAGCTTCGATCACTGCTTTGAAGGCATTATACGCGAAACTTTTTGCTGTATGAGCATTTCCATTAAAAAATCTTTTCACATTTCTTTCAACATCCCTGTAAACATGCCACGTACACAATAAGTGATGTGAAGATGGAAATACATCATCAAGAGGCCTCATCACCCAGTTCGCGATCACCACGATGACACTCGGATGCATATCTTCGCCATACAAGTTACGGAGCTGCCACAGCGCCCAATGGTAGCTTTCCCCTGTCTCATCACTCAGAATGGCATATGCTATGAGGAATGTCTGATTGCAAGGGGTCATTCCAACAAACTCCACAAGAGGCGCTTTATATTTGTTTGTGTTGTATGTGGAATCTACACAAACAACCCAAGGATACGTCCGCAATAACAACAAAGAATCCGGATGTGCGAAAAAGACGTGGGATAACCTCTGTGTCTCTTCATCGCACTCCGTGAAGATGATGTATTTGTGCTGTTCTGCGACCTCTAACACCTTTCCCACTACGTCCATGGCAGCATGTGTCATCTAGAATTGGAAACCCCGCCTTACGCAAAAATTTCGTAGTTGTAGACTTGTTTAGCGGTTACATTTTCATCGGGAAATTGTGTCCATATCGCCCGTAAAATGTGGACTGCCTTAGTCCCAGATTTGGAGTACTCTTTAATAAGCTCTTTTACTTCAGTACTCAATGGCCTCCTGACTCGAGGTGGATCTTTCAATGAATGGTTGTGCATTCCCACGGACTGGATATACACGGATTGCCCACCTATCATACATCTTGTAAGTAGTAATACGAAACCGGCATCCGGTCATCCGTGTCTTTGTATTAGCTCAGCCCGCACGTCTTCATCCACTTGCTCACCTTGGTACCGCCCCTTTATGACAAAGGAGTATAGTACTATTACCCTTATGCGAGGATATACTTAACACCATATTGTAGATGTTCGCAATACCCTTCGCATATTCAATAGCTTCCGTGTTCGTTGAGAAAGTCTCGTCTCGTAGCAAAAGCCGCACTATAATCGATTCCATCCCCGATCAA